GTAACACGATAACTCAAAAACCGCTAATCCGATTTTAACCAAATTTGGGACAACAATACTGGGGCACCCGAGAATCTGGCCATTATGGTGAAGCAGTTTCTGTTGAACTTTTGACACAAAATCATTTTCAAATTTAATTATTTTAGTCTAATAATTATTTAGTCAACATGTTTATTTTCTGTTAATGATGACATATACAGGGTGACTGTGGGGTGTCATGTAAGCCATAAATAAGTTCAAATATTTTCAGGGCTGCTAGATCTCGATAAAAGAAACAGATTATCTCTTTGCAGCTTTTCAAATAAGTCCAAGAGTTATTCAAGTTCCCAAGAAAATTCATCAAAAAAAATATTTTTGCTTAAATTTTGCAAACCACTGGCTCTTTTCTGGGTTTTCTTTCTTGTGAATTTAATCTACCACCTGTGTTGCTATATTATCAAGAAATTATGTTATTTAACTAAAAACTAAAAAAAAATCTAATATTTTTTTCAAAAAATACCAAATTTTAAAAAAAAAATTTCGCGAAAAGAACATCATAATCGTGTTTGGGGTCGAAATATACTATCCCTAAAAATATTTGCACTTATTTAAGACTCACCCTGTATTGAGTATGTCGATTTGAAATAACTTGTAAAATTTTAGGCGTAGCGTGTTATACTGACATCGAAATCTAATTTCTCATATGAAAAAACAACCAGACACGAATTTTCAACCAAATTTCAACGTTAATTCAGAAATTATTTGAAAAAAATCCTAAATAAAAATAAAGCTTCTACACCCTGTACCTCCGAAACAATGCATTTTAGGACATAAATTTATACGAACTTTTTTACTTATCTTTATCTGAAGAACATGTTTCTGAAATTTCCCGATTACAACTCGGACCACCCTGTAGAGAAAAGAAAGTTAATATTTAAATACGCTATGTTATTTTATAATTATAAGAAAAGAAAAAGTAAAGATTTCAGTTAACGTCTCCTTTTTGCTGCCAGGGCTAATCTGGACGGGGCCTACTTTGTTTACGCGGAATCCGAACCGCGGTCCTCGGCCATATCATGGTCAATGGCCTACTGACTTGGCAAGTGTCTAAATCGACTCTTACTCACGAAATATCCGATCTCATCCGGCCTCGAACCGGCGTGAATGAGCAGTGTGTATCAATAGATTTTACACTTTTGCCTTGGACAACAGCACGATACAGAGTTTCGAACCGGTCACCCGTCCATCCACTAGTATCGCCTTACGTCGCTTACCTTCGGTGTTCTAATGGGAACCGGTGTTTCGACGTAGCTGGGCCGTTGCCTTTAAAATATAAGATAATTAAAATAGGAAAAATGCTCAACACAAAAAACAATTATGGCTTGTTTTAAAATAAAAAAAAATATTTTTAAAAATGTACCATCTACATGTTATATATTGAAAAAAGCATTTAAATAGCCAGCGAATCGCCGTAAAAATGTCAGAGAGTTTGTTAATTATAAATGAACCTTAGTTTTAAACTACGCCAATACATCTTCCTTTGTCCTCAAAAAGCATTGTTTGTTTTTCGCTCGGTTGAATGCTTGGAAAAGCATAGAATTTATTTGGCAAGTTCTGGAAAAGGATGAACAATGAGCTCGGCCGGAACGTTTGGATTAAAATTGTCCATGCCCGTTCAAATAGCGTGTAACTTTTAGTTAACAGGATGCTTATGGTGGGCTTAACTCGAAAACAGTCATTGTTTGATAGAGTTGTTTTTTGTTATAGGAATATATTTTATCTAATAATTATACTCGTACGTTTATATTTTAAACAGCCGCTACTATATCCCCGAAATGTTTTACAAAATATTTTCTGGAAATATTTCATAAAACATTTCGGAAAACATTTCTGGAAATAGTACGATAAATATAAGCCCGTGTTATAAAAATTAGTTCCCACGTTTCCTGAAATAGATCGAGACCCGCCGTGATTGGTTGTTTGTTTTTTATTGTAAACAACCAATCACGGCGCGTCTTATATATATTTTGTGAAATAGCACGAGGTAATCAAAGTCAAACGTTGTAGTGGCTTCAGAAAAATAAGTAAACATGGAAAAACTGATATGAAAACAGTTACCGATGGTATTAAATTGGCTATTCCTCGAAGAATATTTAGTTTTAATCGTTGTCTAATATTATTAATTACAATAAAGTAAAAAATATAAAACAGTGACTAACTAGCGGTCTACCATTTATCGGCTTATAATCTACGGTGTTGGGCCTTATGAACAAAATATACACAAAATTATTTAAAAAATTGTCTAATTATTTATTATTTCTGGTTTACTAATTTGGTTTTGTTTTTCTAGTTTTAATTGTCTATATCCCTGCATAATAAATACTAGTTGAATGGATTTATATCAAACCATCCTGGGTGCTAATAAAAGTATCGTTTACAGATTATAATGTCAACATAATGTCCGTGGACCATTCTTTTGTTGACATGGGGTCAATTAATAATTTTCAAAAGCGGATATATTTATAGTTACCAGTATTACTCATCAAGCAATACTACTGTTATATTAATAAATTAAGGCCGTAAACAAACATATCAAATACAATTTTATATATTAATTAATTATAATAAAATTAAGTCATAAAAATATTGTAATTATATTCCTGCTGTTTAAGTGAAAGTTTTGTTCCTAAATATCTACTATATTTATAATAAACGCTTGTTAAAATATTAATTCTGTGGAATATAAAACACACCGGAAAAGTCTAGGGATATTACAATTTTATCCAGCCATCGTCAGTAATTTTATTATTTGCATTTCTGATACAATAAAATTAAAATAAACAAATAGTTTACAGGACACATTGGAAATAAAAATGCGAAATTTACCGAATTTTTCAAATTTACCTTGATTTTTAGTGAACTCAAAAAAATACACACATTTTTTTTTATTTTAAACTGTGAATTAAAAAAAAAGATAAAACCATTTTTACTTAATAAAGGGTATGGCCTCCTCTACTGTTCATTACAGCCCTACATCGTCGCTCCATGCTCCTGATCAGGTTGTCGATCTCTTCTTGAGGTACAGCCTGCCACGCTGCATTCACGGCCCGAACCAGATCCCTACGAGTTTCACGAGGCATACCCATTCTTAAAATTCTTCTTTGAACCGCGTCCCATACGTGCTCGGGGTTGAGGTGAGGAGATTGTGCCGGCCAGGGTAAGATGTTTAATTGATGAGCATTGATAAACTCACTTACCACTCTGGCTGTACGAGGCCGTGCATTGTCACGCATGAGAATGAAGTTTCTCCCAAAATCATTGGCATATGGTAACACGACAGGCTCAAGAATTAAATCACGATATGTGATTCCTGTTAGAGACCTTTCAAGAAAAACGAGATCGGTTTTTCGGCCTAACTGGACTCCTCCCCAGACCATAACTGTTCCACCTTGATAAGGGTGCACTTCCTGAACATGATCCAACCGAATAAGATTTCCCGGTTCTCTCCATACCCTAAGCCTTCTCGAATCCGGATGAATTCCAAAGCGTGACTCATCCGTGAAGAGAACATTGGCCCATTGTTCATTCAACCACTGAACATGATCTTGAGCCCACAATTATTGTACCTCTCGATTACCTCTCGTTAAGGGTTGAGCTCTCCAGGGGCGTCTGCTTCTTAAGTTGACCTCTCTTAATCTATTGCGAACAGTGTCAGGACTAACGGTTACATTATGTGTTTCCTGGAGAATTAAACTAAGCTCTGGTGCTGTAAGAGTCGGTCGGCGTCGAGCATTTAATTTTAAAAATTGATCTTGCTGAGGGGTAGTAATGGGAGGTCGCCCTGTGTGCCTTTCAGCAACATCACCACTTTCACGGTAGCGTGCACTTAATCGCGATATTACACTTTGCGTTGTATTTAATGCTCTAGCTACGTCGATTTGGCGCGTTCCAGCTTCGAGCATACCCATGGCCCTTAGCATTTCGTCTCTGTTAAGATGTCTACGCTCCATAATGTCGTTTAATACTAAACAGAGTTATTTGAATTAATTCTGGCCAGTTATCATAAAAACATAGCCAGTACAGGTTAAATTCGAACAATTGATGCTAGGTGCTTTTTATACATTTGACAAAAAATGCACAAACACTTCTGCAAATATCCCAAATTTAGAAATAACTAGTGTGACTACTTCGTTTCAATCGAAGTAGAAAGAACCGGCCTACAAATATGTGGTTGTTTATTCAAAATTTATTTTTAACTTTAATAAAATGATAACCATAAAACGGAGATGTAATTAAGAAAATATCATAGTAACAACAGCTATTTTAGAAACGTCTAGGTTTACTTATTTCACTGAGATTTATGAAAAAAAATATCCTTTGCCTTGGATACAGATACCGCCACGTTTTGGAAATAGCTCAAAACAAAACAAAATCGAACGAGGCAACAAAAAACGTCAAAAAAATCCCCCCTCGCCCTCCTCACGAGTAGTTTTCAGGCGATTTTAAGAATTGAAAGGTCGAGTAGGTCGAGGCAAACCGAAGTGGGTCAAGACAACTGGAAATAAATCGAACTTGGGTGACCTTGACATGTTTCGAATTATTTCTCGCATAGTGTAGACGCTGTTTAAAATGAAACATCAAAAGAACTGACCTGCGTATTAAGACTGCCAGCTGATTATTGTTTTTCTTTCATTTATACATATTTTAAATAAATAATTTTATATTTTTGTACTAAATATGATGAGTGACGAATAGAATGTGATTAATAATACGTGATTTGGTATCATTTAAATTATATACACTCATATACAAAATTCGAAAATATAACTAACTAATAATTAAAAATTAGCACCAACCCGCATTTAATTGTTTGTTTTGCCAAGTCGACACATGCGTACCAATCCGATTCCGGAGATCCCAATTAACGTCAATTAACTTCATGTAACCTATTAATAAAAGAATATTTATTTATTATTTTATTGCCTAGTTTGTAATTAAATTTTCTTTATTTTTATTTTCAGGAGGTGCTATCGAACAGATATGTGATGACACTAGCGAAGAGGTGACATTTGACAGGACCCTCCTTATACGCGCTGCGAAATGCCTTCTAGCTGCCATTACAAGAGTATTACTTTTAGCAGATATCGTAGTTGTTAAACAACTTCTTTTAGCCAAAGATAAGGTACGTGAAGCCCAGTCTACACGTAACATTTTGCCTGTCAGTCTTACCTGTTCAGTCAAGACGGAAAAACTTAAAATTTTGTTAACTTTTTCTACTAATTGAAAATTCCTACCATTAATTTTCACTGCTGAATGCTTACATTGAAATTAGAAGAACAAACTGGTACACTAATTAAAGCCACTAATTTTGACGTTCTGATTGAAGCTTCATAAATTATATATTTCAGGATATATAGATATACTGAATTTTATTAAAATACTAAATAAATAAAATTGATCTATAAATAAACAGTCGTAAAAATATATATGGATACAATTTTATTTTATTTTGGCTCGACCGTTACATTGCATCCAGTTGTACTCTAATAACAGTTTAAAATTCCACTGCTTCATGAATATGAAACGGAAGCTCCTAGCAAGTTTGCTATTTTATAAAATTTATATTGCAGATTTGTTTTAAATAGTTTTTTGTTTAAAAATTGGTAATAGTTTTCAATAAGTTTGACGTTTTATGGATTAGGACTTTTTTATTTCATCCACAATCATACAATAATCATCATCATTTTACAAAAATTGTTGTGTGGATACCATCATCATCTTCTTGCATTCTTCAACGGTTTAAAAAAAACCTTTACAAACTCTTATGACAAGTTCCAAATTTTACTTTTGTCAAGCTTTTTTTTGAAGAACCTCCAAATTAGTGGAATAAATTAATGATTTTAATTAGCGTAGAAGTGTGTTCTTTTAATTTCAATGTATGCATTCAGAACGTCAAAATTAGTGGTAGTAATTTTTAATTAGTAGAAAAAGTTAACAAACTTTTAACTTTTCCAGTAATTTACTTCAAAATTTGCGAGGAATGTCATTTTGGCCTTTGATTATCATCCGCCAAGAGAAATTGTTGTTAGAAATGAAAAATTTATTGTTTTATACAGGGTTGTTCACCACATACGACACGGAGTATTGTAGCTAAACGATTAGATTTTTACAAATTGTAAGTTTTGGGTTCGTTGAAGGACTATTAGAGCTACAATTTAAAAATATTTTTACAAGATACAGAGTGTCCCAAATAAATAAAAAATATCAAAGTTGTATTTTTTTAAATGGAACACTCTGTATATTATTGCATTTTTAGTTTCTACGATTAAAATAAGGGTAAATTTAATTAGGGTTTATTATACTTAAACCTTACCGTTTTTGAAATATTTTCAATTTTGTGAAATTGCAGTATAAATTTTAAGGCTTCATTTCTCCGAGGGTATCAAAGTTTTTAATACTAAATATTTACTGAAGTTTATTTATTGATCAGTTATTGTGTTGCAATAATAAAAATTATACTACCTTATACAGAGTGTCTAAAAATTTATTTTAAATAATTACTAGCTTTAAACGGCAATAACTTTTTTGTTTAATTTATATGGAACACCCTGTATATTTTATGAGAATTAAATGCACAATTCATTTGTCTATCAAATTGTATTATACCACTTTTTACCTATCCCTTCAAGTTTTCGTAGAAAATGCATTTTCTTATAATTTAGACCTCATTTATCAATATACCTATGGAATATTGACATTTTAGATAGTTTTTAAAACAACAAATGTACAAAATGGACATAGTAATATCCTTTAGTAAAACGATAATATTACTAGCTCATTTGTATGCAAAAAGAAAACTATTTAAATCTTTATAAAAGAGTATACCATTAAGTAAATATACCACCAGTATTTCCGTCCAAATACTAATTAAGTACATACTTAATTGTGTTCGTTAATAAATTATTCTAAATAAATGTAGATTTGAATCAGAAATCAATATAATAATAAGTTATGAAAATGAACGTCTCTGTTGTTATAAATAAGCATTTGTAAAAAAATTAAATATTATTTTTAAGGTGTTAGTTTTTTTTACCACACTGTCTAATACACATAAATAATTCAGTTTTTTAGTATTTGGAGCAATTATTATTAATCAACGCAAACAGTCAATTAATGTAGTTTGAATACTGGAATCATATTAATTGGTCCTCTTTAACAAATTATTTACACAGTTTTTTTTATTTTTTAATGAAATAAACGAACTTATTGACAATATTAGTATCTTTTCTCTTTAAAAATTTGGTACATCTTTAAAAATAATCTAAAATGTCAGTATTCCATGGGTATATTGATAAATGAGTTCTAAATTACAAGAAAATGCATTTTCTACGGAAACTTGAAGAGATAGGTAAAAAATGGTATAATACGATTTGGTAGACAATTAAACTGTGCATCTGATTCTCATAAAATATACAGGGTGTTCCATTTAAATTAAACAAGTTATTGCCGTTTAAAGCTAATAATTATTTAAAATAAATATTTAGACACTCTGTATAAGGTAGTAAAATTTTTATTATAGCAACACAATAACTGATTAATAAATAAACTTCAGTAAATATTTAGTATTAAAAACTTTGATACCCTCGGAGAAATGAAGCCTTAAAATTTATACTGCAATTTCACAAAATTGAAAATATTTCAAAAACGGTAAGGTTTAAGTGTGATAAACCTTAATCAAATTTACCTTTATTTTAATCGTAGAAACTAAAAATGTAATAATATACAGGGTGTTTCATTTAAAAAAATACAACTTTGATATTTTCTATTTATTTGGGACACTCTGTATCTTGTAAAAATATTTTCAAATTGTAGCTCTAATAGTGCTTCAACAAACCCAAAACTTACAATTTGTAAAAATCTAATCGTTTAGCTACAATATTCCGTGTCGTATGTGGTGAACAACCCTGTATAAGCTAATTATTATTAATTATTTCTCTGTCGATACAACTGACTACCGCAAGCTGTTGCTAGGATATTCTATTAATCTTAATTGTGTTTTTTAGACACTGCGAATGATCGTAACTAAAAAAGTATAAATTGTAATTGAAACCACACTAATTTATTCCACTAATTGCAATGTTGTGAATGAAGCTAAGCAATAAACCCTATCTTTAATTAAATTTGTCAAAAATAATGCTTGCGGTTATTTTTATATCCAACTTTTATAATTTTAACTAAATATACACGTGTTTTATTGGCATTTATATAATATAAAAACACTTATATAATAAATAACTAGATATATTATCCATATTATTTAAACACACATTTTGATTAAATCTATACAATATTTTTAGTTGTAGTTATTCCTTTTTCAGGTTTCTCATAGTTTAGATCGTTTAGAATCCGTAAACAATTTTACCGAATTCGTAAAAGCCTTCAGCCAATTTGGCTCAGAAATGGTGGAACTGGCTCATTTCACTGGAGACCGACAGAACGACCTGAAGGACGAAAGGAGAAGAGCTCAGATGGCTGCTGCCAGACAAGTACTGGAGAGATCCACCATGATGCTACTCACTTCCAGCAAAGTAAGAAAACAGTAGTCTCATAAAACTTTTCCTAATTTGACTGAAAAATATCCGTAAAATCAGCCAAAATTGTTAATTTTAGAAGTTTTTTTTATTCTTTTATCTAATCTATTCTAGAGTTTAATTTGTTGTTTTGTTGATTTGGGTTATACCGAATTAATTCTAATTTTTCGTGTTTTTTTGGACTTATACTAACTTCAGTGGCGTGCATATAAGGGTACGCACACGAAAGCTGGTTAATCAACGCTTATTTCCATAGAATTCATATGTAAATATCGGGTAAGATAGCTAAAGTAATCGCAAAACAATTTCGGATGCACGTGATTAACTTTGAACCACAAGCGCAATGGCGACAGCGCTGCCAGATTGTGATGGATTTATGAGATGAATCTTAATGTAAAAGAGGGGAACGGTATATATATTATATCATTTTTTAAAGATTTTTACGTTTTATTCTTAATTTAATCAGTAATATTTTAATAATTAATTTATTTATTAACAGTAGTTACTAACGTTCACAGTAGAAAGTTTTAAATATCGAAATAAGTAGAAATAACTTTGAAAGTGGTATAATGTGCTTACCAATCAGACTTACTTTTCTAACTGCAGTCAAGGGTGAATAACGAACCTTTATTGTCACGTTCTTGTTCAAAATAGTTTATCAGGAAAGCTGCAAGCTCTTTGCTTCGATTTTTTAAATGCTTCGACATATTTTCAACACACAATTTCAAGAAATGCAATACGAAAACTTAAAAACTTAGTTCTTAAGAGAACTGTTTGTGCTTAAAAGTACAATTTGAAAAAAAGTCTATGAAAATCCGCAAAAAACGAGAATTATTCCCAAAGATTCAACGACAACACGATATTATACAAAATAATGACTGACATTATGATAATTGTCATATAATAAACGACAACGTTGCTGATCGCGGCGCAATATGACCAATATGGCGATAATAAAAATCGCTTTAAACTAATTTTTGCAGCTTTAATATAAATAAAATATCTAAAATTTATCTTAAATCCGGTATCTTAAATTATACAACGAATTTAAACATTTTGACCAAAATTTAATTTAGTCAGGTTTGTAGGCTTTAGTGTCAATTTCGATATAACTGATGACGTGCATCGGAAAATGTTTTGCGATTACCGTATTTCTTGTTCCCGATCTTAGTTAGGATCCGTTACGTACGTAGGTAAATAGCATACTAAAAACTATACTAATACTAAAATGATAGCAACTGTCAAATCAGAGTTATCTGTACCACAAGATTGGCAAAAAACTCTCATTTCACTTTACTTCACTGTTCAGCTAGTATGAAATAATAAAATATTAACTGAGTAAAATATACTTTAAGAAATTCTCTAGAAAATCCTTTTTCCATGTTGTAATTAGGAAAATTAAGAAGCCATTTGGAGCGAAGATTAAATAGGAGTCCATTAGTGCTGTCAAAACTTTATGTCGGTTCCTGGCTAAGGATCGATTAATTATTTACAAATTAATTTGAAGCTTCTGGTATATTTTTGAATATAGAACTCAACAGGGTTGAAGAAAATTTCTAGGACAGCTTTGCTAAACTTTCTGGAGTGCATATTAAGTAATTTTCAATGATTAAAGTAAACTTTGAAGATTTAGAATTTAATTTAATAAAAAGTTTGATCCTAGGGTTTATTTAAATCAGTGGTAGTTCCTCAATAATTTGACATGTGCCAACTCCTAAGAGAAACAAAAACTAATTTAAGTTTTATAATTTTTTCATAAATTCTCTTTATTGTGCCATAAATACTCCTTTATTTTTCCAGACATGCTTGCGTCATCCTGACAGTACGTCAGCCAGGGAAAACAGGGATACAGTGTTCTGCCAAATGAGACGAGCCATGGACCTGATTCACTACGTTGTCAAAGACGGCGTGCTCAACGGTGGTGATGCAGGTGCTCACCGCCAGAGGGAGGAGCTTGAGAGTGACAGGGGTACTGCCTACGCCTGCATGAGGTACTTGCAGAAGTTGCTGGAAGGCTGTAAGATAACAATGGGTAAGTGAGGAGGTTTTCTTCAGTACGTATTGTAAAAAAAACCTTTTTATTATTGTGATAAAATTATTTATTGTAAATATTAAATAGGGATTAAAGAATAAAAATTAAACAAAAAATCGTTAAATGTGTACGTAAATTGGTATATAAATTTTATTAAATAACGATATTACAATATATTACTGATCTATAAATAATACGTCGACAAGCGATATAGAATTTATGAATGTCGATATGAATCGTGAAAATCTAACTGGTATAAATTTTAAACCATGTCGACACCAATTTTGATTTATGTGCTAGACTATTAGGACTCGTTTTTTTGGACATTATCACTGTTTTGAAACGCAATTTTTTCAAAAATAGCATTTATAAATGTAAAAATTTGTATTATTTAAATAATAATAAATTCGACATAAAAACGTTAAGCTTCATTCAGAACCTCGCAATTAGTGGAATAAATTAGTGGTTTCAATTACACTTTATACTTTTTAGTTTTACGTTTTTAAAAATCATTCACAATGGTTTTATTTTCTTTATTTCATTTTTATGGACGTATTAAATGTAAAGTATTTTAAGTACCATAAATAAGCATGTTTCTAATAACAATTGGTCAGTTATAATTTTATTATTTATTTAACAACAAAAATATCATATGCGCTACGGAAGCACCTCGAAAGCTACGCTATCGAAAGATGATATGACTTATCTTAGATAGGAACTATCGAAAACAGGAAATAGCCATCTTATTCGATAGTCAAGCAGCACTAAAAGCGATCAACTCAGTAACCATCAATTCAAAGTGCCTAGAAAAGCTGAACAAATTTAGCAAACAAAAAATAAAGTCCTCCTACTCGAAGGCAATGAAAAAGCAAACGATCTAGCTAGAAAAGGAGCAAACACTTCCACTAACTGGACCACAACCGTTCTGCTTTCCAGGCGGAAACCAGCTTAAAGCGGAACTCAAGAACTTGGACTTCATCCGTAACCTGGAATGGGAATGTTCTAACGGCCTAAGATACTCGAAAAAGTTTCTTAGAACTTACTACCGATAAAAATCAAATATTTTCCTTGATTTAAGTAAGAAAAATCTTCGGATTGTCACGGGGTTTCTAACAGGACACTGTGGAGAAAATGTGGAAACATCGGAACACCTTATTACTGAGTGCGCTGAGACGACAACCATTCGTGCCATAGGCGAGCCGTTTTTTATAATTTAGAACGTCAAAATGTTCTGAATGTTTACATTCAATTTAGAGGAACACTTCCACGCTATTTATTAAACCACTAATTTACGAGGTTCTGAATGAAGCTTTAGTGTACGTTCATTCATAATTCAAACAAGAAACACAATTAAAATTAATAGGATATCCTAGCAACATCTTGCGGTAATCAGTTGTATCCATAGAGAAAGTCTAATATTTAGTTTATAAAACAATAAAGTTTTGATTTCTAACCATATTTTCTCTTGACGGATGACAATCAAAGGCCAAAATGACATCCTTCGCAAATTTTGAAGTATAATTAGTGGAAAAGTTAAAAGTTTGTTAACTTTTTCCACTAATTGAAAATTCCTACCGCTAATTTTAACGTGCTGAATGCTTGCATTCAAATTAGAGAAACAAACTTCTACCCTAATTGAAACCACTAATTTATTTCACTAATTGCGAGGTTCTGAGTGAAACAACTGAGGACCGCAAGCTGTTTCTAGGATATTCTTAATTTTAATTGTATTTTTAGTCATTGTCAATGATCACAAACTTTTAAATATAAAATATAATTAAAACCACTAATTTTAGGTTCTGAATGAGACTTTAAAGTTTTCACATTTGTTTTGAAACACTCAATACACCTAACTTTATTACTTTTCCTAGTACCTGCCTGTTGTAGAACATAACACACAGAATTCATGCATTATGTTACGTTGTAAGAGATATATGCAGAGCAATAACTTTTCTCAGAGGAGAAGTTAGAGCAGGTGGGAGGCAGTCAGCTTGAATGCCCATTGTAACTTTGCCCGGCGTGATATGCACGCTAGCAAGCTTGCCACGCTCTTTATCGTTTGTAGGGCATCTCGCTGTTCTAACATGTGTACGTGCATTATTCATAAAGGGCCTAGTCTTGAAGGTCGCTGTTTATGTTTAATTTGAGTAATTAAATCGTGTGATATTTTTTAACGTATCTTGATTTTATTCAGTGTCAAATATTTTAATACGATATCTAAATTTTATTCATGATGCATTTTTTAAATTAATAAGTATTTACTATGGAGTATATATATTCTAGCCTCCATAGTATTTACTATGCAGTACCTTTTCAATACCTTATCCAGCTGATTCGAGGTCTGTACGAAAACAGCAAGGTGAGTACGCCAGGTCTGAATTCTCGAATTTCGACATAAAAACGTTAAGCTTTATTCGGAACCTCGCAATTAGTGGAATAAATTAGTGGTTTCAATTACACTTTATACTTTTTAGTTTACGATTATTCAGAATATTTAAAAAGCACAATTAAAATTAATAGAATATCCTAGCAAGAGCTTGCGTTAGTTAGTTGTATCAAAGTATCAATTTCTCTTGACGGAAGCTAATCAAAAGCCAAAGTTCAGGGCAACGGCTCAGCTACGTCGAAACACCGGGTCCCATTAGAACACCGAAGTTAAGCGACGTAAGGCGATGCTAGTGGATGGACGGGTGACCGTTTCGAAACTGTATCGTGCTGTTGTCCAATAAAGGCAAAAGTGTAAAATCTATTGACACACACTGCTCATTCACGCCGGTTCGAGGCCGGATGAGATCGGATATCTCGTGAGTAAGAGTCGATTTAGACACTTGCCAAGTCGGTAGGCCATTGACCATGATATGGCCGAGGACCGCGGTTCAGATTCCGCGTAAACAAAGTAGGCCCCGTCCAGATTAGCCCTGGCAGCAAAAAGGAGACGTTAACTGAAATTTTTGAAGTATAATTAGTTTGATAACTTTTTCTACTAATTGAAAATGTCTACCACTAATTTTGACGTTCTGAATGCTTATATTTAAATTAAAGGAACAAACTTCTACGCTAATTGAAACCAGTAATTTATTACACTAATTGCGAGGTTTTGAATGAAGCTTTACGCTTTCAAAGCCGTAAGCGAAAGTATTCGATTAGCGGAACGCCAAACCGTCGATTTTGGTATTCTCGTTGCCGAGCGAATCGTTTTCTTGATACGCGTTTAGCACATATTGGCAGCATCGTAATTTCTCAGGTATCTAATTGTTTACTAATAGCAGCTAATAATCAAATGTGAATAAAACGATGAAAAATGTCAACGTTACGTGAATTTCATAACCTATTGTTGAGTTATGTCCACCTATTTTTCTATGGATGTGTCATTATTCTTATTGAAAAAGAAATAAATAGTGAGGGAAATGTAAAAAAAAGGAGAAAAAAGATTAAACGGCTCAGCCCTCAACAACTCGTAACCGTATACACTAGTGTACACCAGTGCAGACACACACACTCACACTCACACAACCACACCTACACTAGTGCACACTGATGTAACTGCCTTCAGGCTTCATCAGTACAGTAAGGAATCAGGGAGCGAAGAAACCGATCCCAAAACACAAAAAAACCAGGAAGCAAACATCATCAATTTTGTTTTTCCATCTCCTGGGTTGCACACGGTGCCTCGTTTCGAACTGCCTGTTCACCGTAAATTTAACCACGGTATAATTATTTCTTAACCTACCATGCTTACGACTTTATTCTATGGTTACGACAGTAAAAGTATGGATGCAAATCATATGCAAATACATTAAAAAAAACAGGTGACTCAAAAAATTATTTAGAAATAAATCAATTTCTTTTTAAATTTTCAAACTTAAATAGCTCGGTTATTTTGGACTTATTTGGAAAACGTTAAAGAGAAAATATGTTTCTTTTATTGAGATCTACCAGCTCTGAAAATATTTACACTTATTTGAAACTTACCCTGTATAGAGCAATATCGCACTTTTGTTAACTGTTTACCGCTGATTGAGCCACAATTTTTTTCTCTGTCCTTTTGCATAGGGCTTTTTAAATAAATAAACATGACATTCCATCAATCGGCATGCATAAATGCGATGATTTTTTTGTCAAAATTTCATGCCTCTTTCGCGTTGTGTGCCGGCATTTTAACCACGAGAAAAATGTTTGCCAATAATTTTCCACGTTTCTTAATAATAAATAAAAGCTATTTGGCAACTATAACTCGTGCACCTTATAATATGTTTATTGTCAAAATTTCACCCTTTCGATTGGCTACCCCCGCTTTAAGCCGCGGGATCGCGCTGGCAGACATCACTTTTTCATAATGGCTACACAAAAGGATACTTCACAAGAAAAATTAGCCATGTAACGATGATAAGGTTTTTTATGTAGCCAGCTCTCCGTCTATTAGGTCTGCCGTAAATTTTGGCTAATGTACTTTTATCTCTGTCAATTCTTGTTGTCTCAAACAGAAGGGTTCTGGGCCAATTAAGATCACAAACAAATATATTGTTTTTTGCAGATATATCCTGTCAAGAAACACTTCCCGCAGCGTTAGAAGCGGTGCTCGAAAGAACTCAGGACTTTACTGACAGTGCCTACACCATTCACGAACACAGAGAAGCCATTTTGGAAGCCAGCGAACGACTTAAGGCCGAAATGGATCACCTTCTAGGTCTCTACGCCAATGTGGTAAGAAATTTGTTTATCTAATTTTGTAAAACTAAGGTCTTTGATGTCTATTGACTTCTATTGATTTCTTGATAATTAAATCTGTTGATTGATAATTAAATCTGTTACAACGTGTGTGCGTTACTTTCTCCTTTATTTTTATTAAATTATTTTCTATTCCTTTTAGGTACAAATAGGTTTTCAGGATGCCTCAAATTGTCCGGAAATTGAGGAATCCGTACAAGTTTGTATCAATTCAGCCAGGGATCTGTCCAGACATCTGGCTAATGCGGCTATCAATCAAGCCCAAGAATTGAGCAGTGCAACTAAGCACGGCTTGGAAATGGTGGGTGCCATTCGACAGCAGGCTGTGTCGAGTGACGTTGACAGGTTAAGACACACTTCTGACGAGTTTCAAGATTCCATAGATCACATTCTGGAGGTAAGTTTATTATTTTCTAATATTATACAGGATTATTTTACAATACTGTTACGTTTTTCGTCGGTTTCCTGTGGATAGAAAGTCACAATTTATTTAAACATAATTTATTTACACTAAGTAACAAACAATAACGATTAAAAGACCCAAAGAACTATTTACACACTATTTATAACTATTTATCTAGAAATAATTTATTTTGAATTTAGCGCGGCAGCTGTACTCGTCTATTTATTTCTGACGAGGACGATCTCTTCAGGCCCCAGCCGTCGGATTTTATACCCACAGCTAAAGATTTCTCGAATAATCCATAGATTATTAAGTGCATAGAGAGGTTTCGAATGTTCTCGTATGTACTAATTTAATGCGATATTAAGGTCATCTGGGGGCGGGACATCAGTTAGGTTAGGTCGAGTCCACACGGGTCCGCAACAGTACGATGGAATTTTTGCATAGTATAGTCTCTCTAAAGAGAAAATTCTTGACAGTGACAGACGTGCCTGTTCTTGTAAATCTATTGTAGTTTATTTTTATTTATAAGGATATAAGTTAGTGCAATTATGCAGACTGAGAAATTAATAGATTAACAATTTCAGTGATAAATGATTAAAATATTATGAGTAATCTGATAAAATCTGCATATAAATTACAAAATCGAGTTGATCTATTTTTAATTAATTTAATAAATATACGGGGTGTTGCTTAATAGTGATGAGAAAATGTATGATTTACTTTTGGTCTTAATCTTGCAGGCAAATAGGTAGACTCTCGATTTTTTAATAGATTTTTACAAGACACGCATTCTACGTAGTTTTTTTAATGCAAATAGAACTTAAAAAAAAAGAAACTATTAGAATTTTTTTGTATAAAGAAAATATTTATTTTTCAATATAATATTATATTGAATTGGCCATTTCTTTCTTTAAAAACTTCTGCTATAGTCGAGAAAAACTATTAGTGACAAATTATAACAATAATTGCAAAATAAGATACTAATTTACTAGAACACTTTTAAACACTAAACCCTCGTTTCGCTAATCATGTTAGCATTTCCAGCAGACGACTAAAATTAGCTGGTGCATATCAGTTGACTTCAACAAATTCCGACCGCAGCGCCTCAACGGCAAAAATCTGAAATTATCATTATATAGTTCGCCGTCATGTTGATCGCATTAAAATAATGTTGAAATCGTGGTTTTGTCATAATATTTAAGTATTTTATTTTTTTGCTAGTGCAGTTATTGAGACAAACTACTCTCACAGATGTTTGTGTGATGTAACGCTGTTTCGGGTAGTAATAATTTCCGTGTGTTAATAAAATTACCGAAAACATGGTAACGCGTAAAGGAGATCATAATTAAGGCGTTGTTAGGTGCAATTAACATTCAATAACTCAACTTTTCCGGATATTCAACTCTCCCGAAACTATTTTATAGCTTCATAGTTTATCATACCGATTTGATCAATAGCAAAAATGGATTCAAGCAGTTCGACGAAACAAGTGAGTAAACAAAGTTCTCGTTACATAATCAAAAAATTAAATAGACTTATACTATGAGAGGAGAAAATATAATTTGCAATATAATATTAATGGGATACTTTTTTCTTAATCAACTACTGATTAAATGTTTTATGAACATCTTCTAAAATTATAATTATGTACCTTTAAAAAATTTCGTTATAGCCGAAATAGCTCCAATTATGCCCCACTAGCAAAACCGGTGATTAAAACTATGCTCGCTACCGTAGTTGAACTCATCTAAAAAGTTTTTATTTAACTGGAATAATAAATTATAATACAAGTTAGACCTTCTGAAGATATGAAAATATTTACTTTTTTATTTTTATTTTTAGAATTTTCACAAATTATACTTCCTAACACTTTTAGAATAATTAAATAATAAATTTTTCGTGTACTCGCTATTTAAACCCGTTTATTTGTATATGCTAGTTTTTTACAATATTCTCCAATGGTGGCAGAGGTCACCGGCGGCGGCAGAGAATGCACCAAGCCGTAATAGCTTTTGTGCAGTGCTATAATAACAGTGCTATAGCTATAATTTGTGTACTAAGTTGTTAGTGTCGACATTGACGCCAACATCATAGTTGACATGTCAGTATTTCAATTGTCGATGTGACATTCTCGACGTCGCCTAACTCTGTAGTTTACCAATCTGGACTATACCTTTGAATAAGAAGACTAAGGAAGGAGCATAATGCTATCCATGTATTCATGCCTTTGAATAAGAAGACTAAGGAAGGAGTATATCAAAAATCTTAGGTACACCGCGATGGGCCTCAAATATGGCCGACTTAAATTCCGGTTTATCAGTGTCGTTCTAATTTTATTTAAAAAATGTAAAACTATGATGTAGGGTAGACGTGGGGTAGACCCAATAATTTGTTGTTTTATTTTACGTTGTGAATAAATGTTGGTAGTTATTAAATGTTATAATTACTAACAGCAGTTATAATAAGCAGTCACAAACGTATCTAAGTTCTTCTTATTTCACCTGGCATTAAGGATAAGTAATGCAAGCAAAGTCATAATTAATTTGTTAATTTGATTTCATAATGATCGTGTGCTGACAATACATATACAGCGAAAACGCAAGAAAAATATATAATTTAGTTAATTAAGTACTATAAATGATTTACTTATCACACGTATGTATATTATATAGTCAATTACTAGCGAAAAGTTGTTCCATTATTTCACTCAATTTTTGCCGATATCTACTGCACGCTACACAACCAACTATTTTAGAGTTCAAATCGATAAATCGCGATAGTGTCACTGTTAATTTAAGTTCTGTCACAATTTCCATCTAGATTTACTACCTTTATACAACTATCAGTAGTAGAATAAATAATAAATAACATAAAATAAGCTCCGTAAAGACTGACAAATCCACAAAATTTCAAATCAAATTCAAATGTGTCAAATGAATCGTCAAACAGAACTGTCAAGGATCCCCACCCTAGAGAGCTTTTATGGTGGCTTTTCCGCCCACCATGCATGAATACATGGATAGCATTATGCTCCTTCCTTAGTCTTCTTATTCAAAGATTCATGCATGGTGGGCGGAAAAGCCACCATAAAAGCTCTCTAGGGTGGGGATTCTTGACAGTTCTGTTTGACGATTCATATGACACATTTGAATTTGATTTGAAATTTTGTGGATTTGTCAGTCTTTACGGAGCTTATTTAATGTTATTTATTATTTATTCTACTACTGATAGTTGTATAAAGGTAGTAAATCTAGATGGAGTTTGTGGCAGAACTTAAATTAACAGTGACACTATCGCGATTTATCGAAAAAGACTCTAAAATAGTTGGTTGTGTAGAGTGTGGTAGATCTCGGCAAAAATCGAGTGAAATAATGTAACAACTTTTCGCTAGTAATTGACTATATAATATACATAGGTACGTGTAGTAAACCGATCATTTATGAAATTCACTTAAATTAACTAATTATATATTTTTTCTTGCATTTTTGCTTTTATTTACTACTTGTCAAATATTAGATGTCAAAGAATTTAGATACGTCAATTTGACTTACCTGCTTCAGTAGCATATCGGATGTTTGTGTTAATAAATCTCTATTATAACTTATCTATTTTTATTAGAATTATATATTTTTATAACAATTTTTAATTAAACTACTAACATTTATTCACAACGTAAAATAAAAACAACAAATTATTGAGTCTACCCCACGTCTACCCTACATCATAGTTTTACATTTTTTAAATAAAATTAGAACGACACTGATAAACCGGAATTTAAGTCGGCCATATTTGAGGCCCATCGCGGTGTACCTAAGATTTTTGATATGCTCCTTCCTTAGTCTTCTTATTCAAAGGACTATACGAACAAAATATAATGATATTTTTTTAGGTTTGCAAGCTTCTTCGACATGTGGCAGTATCGGAAACGTTACAAGTATCGGCCAAGTTCACCGAAATCAACCTGCGAGTTTACGGTCCCCAAGTGGTCACAGCAGCCAAAACCGTATCGCTGCACCCCGGCAGCAAAATATCGCAGGAAAATCTGGAAGTTTTCGCGGAAATGTATCAGTGGCTGGTGTCGGACGTGACCACAATCGTCAAGGACGTGCTGGACGCCAGCCAATCCAAGCCCGAGAAGCAGGTGTACATGTCTCTGCCGAGACCAGGGGTGAGTTTGGGTCTGAATCTTAATTTATTTTATTTATACCGGGTGCGTCTCAAAAGTGGCTCATCCATATAAATTTTTTATTTTTTCAGATAAAAAAACGAGATTTGGCATATTACATGACATAAATTAGGATTGATTATATTCTATTGTTTTCGGCCACTTTCTGTTTCACCGGAAATGACTATAACTTTTTATTTTTAAATGACACTCTCGGTATTTTTTTACTTTATTGGATAGAAAATGATATTCTGAATAAAATGACGTATCATATGTCAACTTTTGACATTCTCGCTTAAAAAAAATCGTATTTTAAATTTCAATCTAGAGTGCCATAGATGGGTTAAAAACACTAATTTTTAATTAAGCAGCCTTGGAAAAATAGATTTGATCGTCTAATGTTTTTTCGTGTCCTGTCCTGGCCGTTTAAAATATGCCAAATGTTTTGTTTCTCATCGCTTCAACTTTGTTTTATTAAATAGCTAACTGAAAAAAAAATGTTTATTCTTCAAAACCTGTAATTTGAATCCTAAATTCAATGACGCATCGTATTTTTATTTATTTAGATGGGAATTTAGGTTTATTTATTTTATAGAAACACGGTACAACTTCCAAACCTCTTAAGGCTGTGAGATTAGATACAGAGGAACAAGAAAGGATCGCTAAGTCTGGATTGGAAATGAAATTAGCTACTAGCGAAATGGAGGCTGAAGCTGACAAGTGGCAAGAGAGTAACAACGCCCAAATGGATGTGAGTCTCCAATATTATCAAAGAAAAATTAATTAATTTAATATTATTTTTTAACAATTTTTTTGTTATTTTTAAACTTTTTTTCTTGGTGTTTTAGGAGAACAACGACATAGTAAAAAGGGCGAAAAACATGTCTTCCATGGCTTTTTCCATGTATCAGTTTACCAAAGGAGAGGGTCCATTGAAAACCACCCAAGACCTATTCACACAGGCTGAATATTTTGCAGAGGAAGCCAATAGATTGTATAAGGTTATTAGGCAGTTTAGTTATCAGGTAATATTTTAATTGGTCTATGATCTATGATCTTAGCGAATGTTCACTAAGAACTTTTTTGTCTGTCTCTGCCCTGGTAAATTTCTCTGCACCAAAAATTTGTTGGGCACCAATTGCTTTGTGTGAGTGTTTGCGAGGGAGTACAGGTTGTCCCATTTTCGTGTTTTACAGGGTTTCTCGTTAATGAGTAGAGGCACAAAGATGAGGTGCTCACATAATTATGCTACTTTTTCATGAAACTAGATGCTACACACAGATTTGTCCTAGCCCTCTTAGTTTCTAATGCACATTTTTTTTTCACTTAACGGTATTATTCTGTATTTTAGGTACCTGGTGGAGCACAAAAGAAAGATTTACTGGAAAACCTAGACAAAGTGCCAACGTTCGTACAGAGACTGCAATTCACCGTGAAGGATCACACTGTCGGTAAAGCAGCGACCTTTACCAAAGTTGACAATGTCATACAAGAAACCAAGAATCTTATGAACGTAATCTCTAAGGTCGTTACAGTTTGTTTCGAGTGTGCTACAAAGGTATGTTTTGGCTCGATCATATTTTTTGCATTGATCCATACATTACACCTCCTTTATTTTCACACAGACTCCATAATAATATCTGGTTTAATCATATTGATTTTTATAATGAATTAATTAAAGCAGATATTAATTCTTCAACTCACTTATCTACTTTTTCACCTCTGTATATCTCTTTTTAAATGCTTTGTATCTTTTATTTTCTTGTTACAGTGTGTTTTAAAAAGATTTTAAATAAATAAAAAATATAGAAAATCAATACTATGTATCCTTTGAATAAAAAGATTAAGGAAGGGGCATATTAAAATAATTAATTAGTTATATCTAAGTGAATTTTATAATTCATTGGTTTACTAATTTATTAATTGGGAAAATTAGTCCCTTATTTCTCTTGATTTTTGACCGAGATCTCTGTTACAATTCGCAATATCGTCATTGTTAATCATTTAAGTTTTGATACAATATGTTTCTAGACTTACTAATTCGCAACAACACCGTTTGTGGAATAAATAATAAATAACATAAAATAAGCTTAGAAAAGCACAAAAAATATGCAAAATTTCAAATCAAATTCAAATGTGTCAATTGAACCGTCAAAGAGAACTGTCAAAAATGGGGGCTTATGACGTCAATTCCGTGTTGAATTCATGAACAACGTTAAGCTTGATTTTCATGCATCTGTTATCCGACGATACGATGATACGATATTAATTTTATTGGTTGAATTTAAAGACTTCGATTGGTTAGAAACGATTAACCATCATCGTATCAACGGACCACGGATGCATGAAAATCAAGCTTTATACCTCTTCCTTAATTTTGTTATTCAGTACAATATCTAATTTTAATAACTCAAACTTTCTTTTCTTTATTTGTTACATACCTTTTAGGACATACTGTACAAATAACTATTATTTTCTTTTATTTAGTTTAATATTACATTGCCACAAAGAGTTACTGTTCCGTGTAGTGAACTGAACGGTGGTATATTACCTGGGCAACTCAGTCCTCAAGCTCTCCATAGACTCTTAAACGAAAGGAAAAATATACAGGGTATTGCTACGTTGCCTCGATGACAGAAGAATTAAGCTAGATAACAATTCTATAATCGGTAATAATTCGTTCTTAGTAGCTTAACAACACTAAATTTACTAAAGCAGTGTTTGCACTAACACGTAGTATCTTTGTGGTTATGTCCTAACAGTACCTAGTTGATGTTCGATTACATTATATCTTTATAAACACTTAATTAGTATGTATATATTAATTTAGTAATAAAATTTAAGCTTAAAGTATTACAACACAATTCGCTTAAACTGAAAACATATGCAATACAGAACTAAAAGTTTATTTGGTATCGATTATACAGGGTGAGTCTTAAATAAGTGAAAATATTTTCAGTGCTGGTAGATCTCGATAAAAGAAACATAATTTCTTTTTACCGTTTCAAACAAGTCTAAAATAACAGAGTTATTTTGCTTTGAAAATATCCAAAAAAAAATATTTTTTGCTTAAATTTTGAGAACCACTGGATCTCTTCTGGGTTTTCTTTCTTGTAAATTTAACCTACTACCTTTGTTGCCATATCATCAAGAAATTATGTTTTTTAACTTAAAAACTAAAAAAAATTCCAAATTTTTTTCAAAAAATTCCATATTTTCAATTTTTTTTTCTCGAAAAAACCAAATAATAGTGTTTCTGGGGTCGAAATATACTACCCCTAAAACTATTTGCACCTATTGTGATGATTGATTGACTCACACTGTAGTCATTTCTAACATATTTTTTTACAAAAAAATTGGTTTATAATTTATAAGATATATATATTTATAAGATGACAGTCATGACATGACAAATTATAAGAAATTAATGTTATGACAAAAAAATGAACTAAAAATATGTTTATTAAAAAAATACATCCTAGGTACTTTTGTTTAAAACTTTTTTTTTCGTTATTGCAATTATATGTTTATTTTTCTTTGTTTTTTATGTATTTTTTTATCACACAGATTCATTTCTTTATTTCTGTTATCTTTGCTTTTCTCTATAAATCTATCTCTTCTAGATCTGTTAAACTTTTTACATTGAACGATAACCTTATTTTTTCGAAGGCATGTTTGAACATGTAGTATATTCCCTAGATGTCTTTTACCTTTTGTTATTCTGAATAGCTAATAGTTAGAAATGTTATCTATTTATAATAAATAGTTTAAATTTTCTAAGCTAATAAACTAAAATAAAATTAAATTAAAAGAAAAACAAAAAGGTAACGTAAAAATTAAATAAAAATACTAAAACATACAAATAAATTTAAGTATTTTGTTTAAAATGAATAAAATTTTGACATGCCCCTAAATGCGATTGATATTTTGCTTTGTTTGGCATCATTAGCGTTTTATTGGATTGGGAGAGATCAAGAATTAACACAAAAAAATAACTCTAACACAAAAAAATTAAAATAAATTTTTATAATCGTAATACCTAGGATTACGAAATAGAAAAATACTTCAATTATATTTATTGATAAATTTTCTAAAATGTTCTAAAAAACACAACAATTTTTTGAGAAATGAGGCAAATTTATTTTAATTTGTAATCACAGCACAAAAATAACAATACACAATAAACAGTAAATGTCCACTGAGACTGTGATTTATAACAGTTTTAAATAAATGTTGTTTTAAACAAATAATATTTTCAAATTAGAGTAAAATTAAAACCAATTAATATTAATATAAGCTTCATATTTACCTATAAATAAATAAATATACCGGGTGTATCATATATGCTTGTTTTTTTTAATAGTTTTATTTAAAATTTTTTAAAAATATGTAAAAATTTGCATCTAATTAACTACATATCTAATTTTATACTGTTAAATAGCGAACGATTAAAAATATATAATTTATATTAAGATAATTTTGGCGAGATCAATCTCTAGAAGTAATTTACTAAAAATTGACATAAAACGTGTCAAAAATTAACACTAATTATAGACCAATCTATTTCAAAAAAAAATCGAATTTTAAACTACACTATTTAAAAATAATTTTAACTCAAATAAAAATAAATCAAACCCTTCCTAAGGCCAACTGGCAGTAAGCGCTATTAAAAATAAAGAACAACGCTTTATTGTACAAAAAGCCAAAACAGATTCATTCACCAAACAAAAAAGCACAAAAACAAATATACAAATAATAAAAAAAATGTCATACAATACAAATCAATTCAAAAAAATTTACGTCATAAAATTACAAATAAAACATATATGGACCTTGATGAAGATTACGGGTAGGTCTAGGGATGACGTCTAGGGCTTGAGCTCGCCAAAATTATCTCTCCCGCTTTCTTCGATGCCGTTTTTTTTTATCGTGTGGTACCATACGACCGAAAAAATAGCATCAAAGTAGACTTGGAAGTATAGATCGTTGTCAATGTGTATGTAGAATTATAGAAAGAATATCATAGATCGATATATCAAAGCTAACTTGACACCGTTTTCTTCTTCAATTATATGGTATTTACAATAATTGTTTACTTTTTTTGTATCAAATTTTGAATGAAACTATTAAAATAAATGTATGTGCTATTTATATTTTTGAAATCAGAAATAATATCTGTTAACACACTCATAATATACAGGGAGTATAAATAGCATACTAAACTCTAGTGGGTGATACTACAGAGATACTTCTTTTTGGTAATACGAATTATATCACATGTTTAATTTTATAGGTGTTTTTGGCAAATTATTGTATATTATACCTTAAGTCTTTGCTGTTATAAATCACATAGATACACAACAAGATAAAAGACGATGTAAACGATGTAATGCACATTAAAAATGTTTTTTCTGTCAGCTTAATTTACCCGGCAACCCAGCTTTCTTCAACAACCATGACGAATATCAGGTTAATTTGGTGGTGCTCGTTTGTGTATTGTATTTGTGTTAGATGTGTTGAGGCTAGATGAACATTGTTGATATATTTTACCAGACACTTGAAACCAAAGAAATCTAATATTGATTGAGTTATTAAATTATAAACTAAATAAAGAAAATAATAAAACTAAATCTCAATAATGTGTATAGTCTGTCCAGCGAGCCAGGGAAGATTTTGACAGACGGTGTCCAAAAAATAAAAGAACAGACTATTTTCCTGTGAATGAAAAATAGACCTGTCACTGTGTGTGGCTGGACAGCCTATTACAACTTAAAAATAATATTAAATTTTCTAATAAAGAACTATTGTGTTGTTCACTTACGGCGCGAAAAACGGACACCTTATAATTTTGATGTATTATACAGGGTGGTCCGAACTGTATTCCGGAAACTTCGGCAGCATATTCTGCACATAAAAATAAATAAAAATGTTCGTATAAATCTATGTTCTAAAATGCTTAATTTCGGAGATACAAGGTGTAGAAGTTTCATTTTTATTTCGATATTTTCCAAATAATTTCCGAAGTAACGTCAATATCTTGATGAAAACTGGTGTCTCATTCAAAAAAAGTTTTTTGACATGAGAAATTTGATTTTGATGTTAATATGACTTCTATTTGTAGGGGGCGCCACCTACATATGTTTTAACTGTTTTGAAGAGTAATAACTTTTCGTCCGTACTCGTATAAAACTCCTGAGTGAAAAAATATACATTTCCGTGATTTTTTACTTAAAAAATATCTATTGGTAAAAATCGCTACAAGCAACCGTTCTCAGGATATTTAGAATGGAAATAGTCAATACATGTCATTATTGACAAAAAATAAACATGTTTAGTAGATAGTTATTTGACTGAAATGATAAACTTGGGAACTTTTTATTTTTTTTTAAATTCATCATAAATTTTTTTTCGAAAAAATGATGATAAAACAGTTTCTGTTGAACTTTTAGCACAAAACCATTTCAAATTTATGATTTCAGTCTAATAACTATTTAGTCAACATGTTTAATTTATGGCAATGATGACAGGTATTGATAATTTAGATTCCAAATATCTCGA